CCACAAGGCCAACATCCTTGCGATCAGCTGGCCCGCTGCTGCTGGAGGACCACCCACTATTGCTTTGATCTTGCCAGTGAAGGCCGCCCAGGACAACAGCCTGAAGATTGCACCTTGCTGGCGCGGGTCCATAGATTTGGACGCTGTGATGTCCATCCACAAGGGCAACCTACATGAAGTAGGACCAGGCTGCCGATCGCGATCACCGGCCCACCGACGATTACCGGCCAGCCGGGTGCTAGCCCGATCGTGAATCCAACTGGAGGTGAAGCTGCAGCACCTGCTGCACCACCTCCTGCAGTACCTCTAGGAGCGGCACCGGCTGCTCGTGCCGGCCCGTGCCGCCAGGCCCTACAATTATGATACACTGCACCGAGCATGGGCTCGTCAAAATTAGGGTCCCCTTTTGGGCACCCTAAAAATAAGGTGCCGTATTCTATCAAGGATTCAAATAGCGTCAGCCTTCTCGTCTTCAGCAGCAGAAGTAGTAACATCTTGAAGAATCAGAGCTTGCAAGGCATGCTCAGGCTGCAGTCAGTCTGAATATCGCCCCCCAATGAGAATTCCGATTTTCGTTATTCAGAAACATTGGCTGCCATCATGAATGTACTTCGGTGGTCTTTGACGAGTGCGGCTTCTGGCCAAATGCCAAAGCTGGGGCACACTGGCATGCCTTGCTGGAGCCCAGGCGAAGGGGCAGAGCCCTGCACAGATCGCCGAGGAGCATTTTGTTGGAAATACGCGGCGATTGGGCTTTTTTCAAGCAGGTGCTCTACATGCCAGCATGGTGTCTTGGCTGCATTTGGTAGTGTTCCTTTCGTGTCTTGGCTGCATTTGTTTTTTTTCGGATATACATATGTTTTTATACAAAAACACACACACATGCATGTGTTTCTTACAAGCCTCGCAGGAACGAGTCCGCTGGCTGTTGTTGGCTGTGTGACATCAAACCTCAAGACATCCAGCAAGTTTCGCGTGAGGCTGCATTGATGCAGCCGGAGCACAGAAAGAGTCCATGGCAGGCACTCGCTGATGCCCCAAGTCAAGAACCAGCCCCATTTTCGGAGCACCCTTTCCAAAGGATGCCGGGATTCCATGTTTCTGTGTGCCTGGTATTTCAACAGCTGCTTTGTTTGGCTCAGCATGGAGCGGCATTTGCAAACCTACATGTCGCTCTGCATCAGCCTTCGAGGTGCAAGGAGTGTGGCTGTGGGTCGAGGACCTCAGGCCCGCGTTGCAGAAAACATGCAGGGTTGAACCAATGGACCAAGGGTCACCAGGGTGTGTGGCCTGCCAATCAAGTGTGCAGCGCCTTGCCCATGAGGCTACTGGGTCTCATGCGCCCTGGCTGTCAGGAAAGATAATTTGGTACGTATCGTTGGGGTGATCTGTTGATCTACTTTTTTGCAGGATAGCAATCGGTTTTGTCGAAAAGTGAACATTTAGTAACTCTGAGTGTTGGGATTGCACCGTCCTGCCCCCCCCCCGCCCCGCTCTGGTGTGTTGTTACACAAAGCAAATGACAGCTGTGGGATTTGAGCCCACGCAGCTTGCGCTAGCGGAACTTGAGTCCACCCCCTTAGACCACTCGGGCAAACTGTCCTTGGCTTGGTGCTTTCAAACAGTAGATTATTGCTGTTGTAGATGCTTCTATGAGCCCACCGTCTTGCACGTTGGTCGCAGTGCTATAGGATGTGTAGGAGGGGCGCTGATAGGGTTAGATCTGTCTCGAGCTTTTGACAAGCTCGCGCTGGGCACTTTCTTCTCAATTTCGTGGTGACCACCATTTGTTTTTTGGCTTGTGCAGCCTTTCCAAAAAGTGTAACCAAAATGCGGGTTTGGTGCATTCAGCATGCGAATTCCGCAGTCTCGACTCTCAGCGCTGCGTGGGCGGAGCCAAGCCCGTGGTTGGTGTGGGATGACGCAACCAAATTTGTCATCCAAAAATGGCCGTTTTGCAACCACCAGCAAAAACAAAACACTCCGGGTTCGAGCCCACACACTTTTCTCGGGCCGCGCATAAGGCCCATGTTTGCCCACTGGGCTGTGGCTGGAAAATATACAGGAGAAGCCGTATTTTTTTGGGTCCTTCACACATCCACGGTGGTTCGGCCCACTGGTTTCACCTTCCAACTGCACCTAACCTATTTGTTGATCATTACGACCAGCCGGGTTTACACGAACGAGAAACGCACTGAGACACGTGAATAAAAAAGGACTCAGACAAGACAATCACACACAATCAAGCACTTAGGCTCGACGGGGCATAAAGGTGTTGAAGATTAAAAGGAATCGGCGCAAATCGGCTTGTCAGACCAAGACCAGTCAGCTCGCACTCCATTCATGTCATTGCCAGTCGTTGTTGTACTCTGGAACAATTGTTTGGCCAATCGTGGGTGCTGGCATCGCAGACAGGTTTCTGATTCTGTTCGCCCATGGTTTGAGGAGTGGGGGCCAACACTGTAAACACAACAGCCGTCAATGAAAGCTTTGCTAAATTGAAGCGTCACAATGAAGCCAAGCCATAGGCTGCGTGATTGGACATCTTCCCTCGACATTGTCTGCTATGTTGACAGCGATTGGGCTGGATGCAAGACAAGGAAGTCGACGAGGGTGAATAGGCTTTGTTTGTTCTTGAAGTCATTGATCCTCGAAGTTGGGTTTGCTAAGGTCTCTCTTGCTCCGCCCGCATCGGCTGAGATAGAGTCGCTTCCGAACAGCCCTGCACGTGCGCAATGAAGCCGCAACATGGGGGAGCCCTTCGCAGCCGGCCTTTTTGGGAGAGGTTTGGCCAACCCAACCTAATACTTTGGTGGAATCTCGAGGAGCATTATGTGGATGAGCGGCTGGCGAACTTTTTGAGGAATTAAGCTTTTGTTGAGGCAAGCCAGGCAACAGTTACTGGATGAAAACTGGAGTTTCCGCAGTGAAATTGCAGCGAGACCGTCGCAGACAAAGGAGTGCAAGGACGGTATACTCGGGGGCAATCCACGTAGTGTTGCTTCAGGTCACGGAGTACTTGGAGCCAAGCGAGGGAGTACTTGGGAGCAATCCAAACTCCTTCAAGAGCTCCGTTCCAAAGCGATCTTCTCATCAGAGACTGCTCCTTGGCCTCGCCAGGTCTATCATCACCGGCGAACTGTCACTCTGGTACATCGTCTTCCTCTAGCTTAGCCCTTGACCAAGGGAGGCCTTTGAGGAGCCTCCATCCGTCCTTACTTAGCCTCTCGAAAAACCGAGCGCCTGCACCTCCACGACTCATCGCGCCCTTGACCTCTGAGCATCTTCATCTGTACGCTGAGGGCATCAACCGTTCGTTCAAACTCCTCCATACGAGCCAAGCATCTTGTCGGTCTTGTTCAAGATCTCCGTCACCTGGGCCGGGTCAATCTTATTTGGGGTTGTTGGCTTCAGCATCAATTGCTGCAGCGGGTCCATCAGCCAGCACCTGCGAAGTGGCAGTGGGTGACGTTCTCCATGCTTGAGCCCTAGCAAGTTGTGCTGCTCCACCCCTATCGGACTTACCATTCAGGCACCTCTCGGGCCAGTCCAGCTATTGCAGTTCTTCCCATTGCGGCAGCCATTGTCGGTACCAAACCACTGACATGGCTTCTTCGTTCCGGAAGCAGGTGCAGCCTGAGGCTTGAGGCTGAAGACCAGGCGGGGGTGCTTCCGTTCGAAGCTCCAGCCGGCTGGGATTGTGCTGCTCCCATAGCTCCACAGGCTACTTCGCTTGATCGAATTTACAGCTCGAGCTCAAGATCTCATGCAAAGCAGCTTTGTAAGGAGGCTCGCGTGCGTGTTCCTGTGCTTGCAAGGAGACAACGAACATCATAGCATTGCCATTCCTCCTCTATTGGAGCTGCAGGAATGTATTCCTCGAAAATGAACTCACTTCCGGATCCATCACCTGCAAGCAGCACATTGATGCGACAGTCGGTGCTGCATGCTTCTGCAACTCAAAACATGTAAGCTGACCGGGCCTGAGGACAGGTCACGTGCATGAAGAAACGGCTGCAGCATGTCTAAAATTATACACAACTATGCAAGCAATCATGCCTCTAATCATGCAAGGAGCCTCAAGACACACATGTTTTGGGCAACACCTCTCGCCGAAACGATCCCTACAGCTCGATCCTGCATGCTCCTATAGCTAGTGAGCTTCGCTCTCCAGGAGCTGCTGACGTCGCTGGCGAAAATGCTGACGAAGTTCACCCCATGTGGTGCAGCCATGCATCTCTTCTGCCTCTGTGTGCATCTGCTTGGTCACCTCACGGTGCCGGTTTGTCTTCTTTTCGGACACCTCCATCAACAAGCATTTTGTGCTTCCCAAACTTCCCGCCGATATACGTTCTATCCGATGCCATGATGTAATGCACGGACTCGCAGAACAGGGAGTCCCTGGAGGCTTCCTGATTGGTACTGGAGGGGCCTGGGCTTTCGGGGAGGCCTTGGCTTTCGGGGAGGAAGCTTTCCGTGATGCCGACGGTGATGCAGACTTCGTTGCCGAGGCTTTCCGCGATGCCGTGGGTTTGGGCTTGGTTTGGTCAGCCCCCGATCAGGCATGGCATCCAGGAGGTTGCTTCTTAGGCTTGCTGGAAGATGGCTTTTTCAATACGGGCCCAGCCCTCGTCTCCGTGCCCAGCATGATGTTCGGCACGTCGAGCTCTTTCAACTTGCCAAACACCTTGCACTTCAGGAACCCGTTTTCGCCCTTGAAAACATGATGCACCTTCCGAGTCCCGTCCTTGAGCTCAGTCACATATTTGCAGATCGTCTTGTCGAAGAACTGCAACACGATGTCCTTGCCGGAGCTCGAGGGAGCCGCAGCCTTTGTCGTGGGATCCTCACCGTCCTGGCCGGAGCTCGAAGGAGCCGCAGACTTTGTCGTGGGATCCTCACTGCTGTTGATCGAAACAGGTGTGGCAGGAGCATTCGCTTCTGCTTCCTCGCCCACACCATAGAGTTCATGGATGCTCCGAGATCCTGAGGCCGACGGCGAATGGCTCTTGCAAGGCAACTTCGGAGCAGACTGCCTGACGACAGGAGAAGTCTCGGGAGACCTCTGCCTCTTGTTGCCCGGGCTGCCCTTGATAGTCGGTCGCGACCCTTTCCACTGGTCTCTCTGGACTACCGACTCTGATGAACCTCTTGGGGCAGGTCATCTCTTGGGAATCCTGATCCTCCCCCAGGGCTTCGCCGACTCTTTTCACAGAAGGATGTGTTTTTTTCCCGCTCGT